TGGAACAGAACTCCCAGCCTCTGGCTCTCTCAGCTAGACACCTAACCCACAGAGCTATCCAGCCAGCTGATAATAGCATGTTGTCAAGTTGGACCTGGATTATGATGCTTTCCAGGCCATCCTGTCTCTAAATAGAGAGTACTCAGAAGTGGTTTACCATTCTCTTCTTCTGGGGGTGCCCTGGGACTGCGCAGCTTGCCCACGGCTACACAGACTGGCTCTACTAGTAGGAGGCCCAGTGGGGGAATCAAATTCCCAACCTCTGGCTCTGCAGCCAGATATGTAAACCACTGAGCTATCCATCCAGTGTATGAGTTGTACACGGAGTAGTGCAGTGGATTGAGTGAAGATTTAGGATTCAGGAGACCTGAGTTTGAATCCAACTTGGCCATGGAAAGTCATCGGGGGAATAGCCGTGGTAGAACCGGTCTTTAAATTATCCTGAAAGCCTTATTAAGGTTACTATAAGTCAGTTCTGTCTTGATGGCACATAACACACACAAACGTAAAGCAAAAAGTTCATCAGCTTTTCTTAACGATCAAAAATAGGAATTACCTGTGATGAACTATTAAAAGAGCATAAAACACTGAATTTTGCCTTACATTTGCACACTATGAAGTGTAGGATTACACTGCTATACACACCAAAAGAATCTCAAATTATCTATTACAGAAATATATACTTGCCATCTGTTCTAGACATCAGTCATTGTGATATCTGATTGTAGCTTATAAAGGGTTAAATGGCTATCAAGTATCATTAAAAATAGCTCCATGGTTATGGATTACTATAGTGAATTTCAGTATAACATGGTGACAAAGAACAGTTTATGGCAGCTGAATATATTACATTTATAGTAATCATTAGCTGGCTGAACAGCTCCGTGAATTGTAGGTATCTGGCTTTGGAGCCAAAGGTTGATTCCCCACTGGGCCTCCTGTGAGTAGAGCCAGCCTGTGTGGCCTTGGGCAAGCTGCACAGACCCAGGATGGCCCCCAGAAAAAAGAAAGGGCAAACCACTTCTGAGTATTCTTTACTCTGTTCACAAAAATGGACAGCAGAAGGACCTGCACCTAAGGTGCCCTCTCCCATTCCATGTGCAAAAGGTGGTTGTTTGGAAATCTAATCTTCCTTCAACACTAGAATTAGGAGGTTCTCTCCCATTCCATGTGCAAAAGGTGGTTGGAAATCTAATCTTCCATCAACACTAGAATTAGGAGGTCTCCCCCCCCCACTACACACAGGGCTAGTTTAGGGAGTGCAGGACAGACCACATGGTGCCCAGTTTTTTCAGCTGAAACTCGCTGTCTCTAAGCGTCTCTTGCTCAAGAGGGCTACTTCATTTAGTGTCACAATAGGACTGGTCTTAGTTAAACCCAATAAGGCATGGAAAACAGTCTGCAGATAAGATATAGCTATACAGTATTCTTTGCCAGCCCAGGATGGTCCCAGAAAAAAGAAAGGGCAAACCACTTCTGAGTATTCTCTACTCTCTTCACAAAAATGGACAGCAGAAGGACCTAAGATGCCCTCTCCCATTCCATGTGCAAAAGGTGGTTGGAAATCTAATCTTCCATCAACACTAGAATTAGGAGGTCTCCCCCCCCCACTACACACAGGGCTAGTTTAGGGAGTGCAGGACAGACCACATGGTGCCCAGTTTTTTCAGCTGAAACTCGCTGTCTCTAAGCGTCTCTTGCTCAAGAGGGCTACTTCATTTAGTGTCACAATAGGACTGGTCTTAGTTAAACCCAATAAGGCATGGAAAACAGTCTGCAGATAAGATATAGCTATATTCTTTGCCAAAAAAGCAAGAAAGGAAGTCTCTACATATACAGACATATACTTTATTAGTCCCAATAGGTTCCAATTTAAGATCGTCTTAAAGGCCATCGTGCCATTGTAAAAATAGAAACAGTATACTACAAACATCTGTAGACATTACAGTGATAAATCACGAGCATTCACTTACATGCTGATTGTCAAGAGCAATTAATACTGTAGTCAAGTCAACTGAATTATAGTTGGAATTTAAAGAATCCAAAATGAGAAGCATTGAAATAATTATGATATATCATATAGCCAGGAAAACAGACTATAATCTGTTTGCAAGTATGTCACAAATCCTAGCTGTAACATAGTGTCGCTCAGATGCACATGGGCTTTGATGTTGCTTCTTGTGACACCTTTACAATATTGCCACTCCTCAATTGGAGATCACCTTGCAATCTGTACTGGGTCTGCATATGCAGCCTTGTTGAATCTTGATCTGGTTTCACCTCTGTCTGACTGGGCTCAGGGACATGGGGCAGCACAGGGCTGGAGAAAGAGGCAATGGACCAACAAGGCTATCGGTGGGGCTAGTGGACTTCCTGCTTCTGTCTTGAAAGGTCACAACACTCAGGTGGCTGTGCCATGTATGTTGCAAGCTGGCTATCCATGGGTCACTGGAGTGGGTTGCAGAACCTTTGGCCTTTCAGCTGTTTCTCACTTCAGCTCCCATGAGACCTAGCCAATGCTCAAACATAAGGAACTATGGATGTTGCAGAACAACAGAACAAATGGACTCTATGACTATTATTCTCCACTGCAACCTAGATGTTTGTCAGCACTACTTCAACCTCCTGTATTTATTAGAGCAGTGGTGGCCCCAGAAATCCTGGGCAGCACAGCTAGTGGTAAAGGATTCTGGGAGTTGCAGTCCAAGAACACCTGGGTTACCCAAGATTGGGAGTGCAAGTATTTGTCCAAACTGATCTATCTCTGAGTATCTGCAGTAAAGCTCAGAAATGACCTGGCTCTGGGCCTGAGCCAATATACATATAATTTTTATGTTTCCAGATTGAGGGAGATTGGTTTAGGACAGAGGGAAGGTGGCAAACCTTCAGTGTGTAGGCAAAGGTCAACTGGCTTGCTTGCTTGCTTGCTTCCTTCCATTTCTCATCTCTTCCTCCTTGCCAAGCCCTTGCCATTCCATGAATCCACTTGGCACCACCAATCAGCAGCCACTGAAAAATGGAACTGGAATATAAGGTTGCGGGAGGCAGAAGAGAGTCAGTCATCACTCCATACTTGTGTGCGCGCGCACACACACACTGTCCTAAGCATAATGAAAACTCGGCATGTGTTCCTAAAGGGGAAAAAAAGGGAAAATTCTAGAACACAGTCAATGTTGCAGCACCCTCCTCTTGTCATGCATGGATTCAAAATGGCCATTCAATCATATTGACAGGAATATTTATATATGCATTTATGTCACCTGAACCATAGCAATATTTGCTACTCATGTTCCGTAGAGAATTTCATCAGTACTTAACAAATTCACTTGTTTTAAAACAGTTATAAATACCACACATTATAGAGACATTTATTCTAATGTGCTTTAAACGGTCTCCCCTTCCCCTTCACCCAGCTTATCAAATATTTTATGTGGCTCACATTTTCCCCAAAAAGAGATTTATTTTGTGGGCCTTAATCACTGAATTAGACGTAATGGGAAAGACATATGTTTATATAAAACCAGAAGGCCAGTTTTTAAACACATACCAAGGGCCAGATAACCCATCTGTCAAACCTAGTGTTCCAAATATGTTATTTCTGGCCCAGCCTCCTTCACTTTATGACATAAGCATCTAAAAACTTAGCATCAATAAAGCTGCACCTTTTAAACAATGCTGTAAAAAGTTCATGAGCATTGACTAAGATGCATTACATGGCTTACTGCCCCACCCCATCTCCAAAACAGGAGTGAAAGGTGTGGCCATTTGAATACTTGAAAGCAGCACAGACCTCTTAACACCGAGACTGCAGGCACTTCCAAGCTGCAAAGAGACTAAAACCAGATGCACGGGGAATGCAAGGATCAAAATATTATTTAGGAAACATTTTAGAGACCTTTCCACTGCACCTAAGCCACCCCCTAAAAAAACACACACGTTAGGGAAAAAAAACATTGGGAACCCCACAGAGCTTGTCCAGGAGAAACACTAGGGTATACATACATGTGTATGTACAGTATTCTCTGCATCAAAATCTTTCTTACGTAGGTAAGATGAGGGTTTGGGGCTAACAAAATCTGAAACAATGGGCCTTGGAACTTAAGGCAGGCTCCCTGCAGGATATTTTGTTGGCTGGGCCAAAGGACAGTGTGTCTCTCCATTTCGTATTGGATCGTGTCTTCTGCACACTTGAAAGAAGGACTTGGAATTCGGGAAGTGAAGACGGAATGTGTGCCACACACCAGTCTGGTCTCCATGGCAGGGAAACAACCAGGGAAAGTCGGAATGATCCATCTGGGAGCCACTTTTGCTGCCCTTCAGGATCTCCTGCCTCAGTTGACCACCCCACTCTGCCTCACGGTACGGTTGGATCTGTCTCCCAGCCATATTTTCAATGAAGTTCTTTCAAGGAGAGACAAGAAACGATTTCAAACAATGTTCAATTTAACCCACTGATCCGCACCAAAAACCATGCAAAGCATTAATACTATTTTGAAAAAGAGACAAGAAACGATTTCAAACAATGTTCTATTTAACCCACTGATCCACACCAAAAAACATGCAAAGCATTAATACTATTTTGAAAATTTGCCACAAAATTTAATCTGTCTCCTTGACGCCTTCTTAACTCCGTTACCTTTCAGTATGAGGATACATTCGTCCACAGCTTTGCTATATGAAAGCACTGCAAGAGTGCAATTGGTAACCATAGTTCACAGAACTAGACTTTCAACTCAATTCTGGCTGCACTTTTCATACCTGAAAAACGAGGCACCCCTGATTAGAACAAGACTGTTCTGCAATACAAGAACACACAGGCCATTTAAGGCGGCCTCCTGAAGTCTCAGTCAAATGTCTGTTATCTTTTGTCACAAAAGAACCTGCATGCAAAGCAGAGCTGGGTCAAACATGCTGCCCATCCATAGGCAGAAGGCTGGTGGTGCGACATTGTCAGAAAAAAAAATCTTTAAAATAATAAATCATCATAATATACCTTGGAGTTGTTCTCCAACACAGGCTTGTGTATTTATTTAAGACCATGATAATAGAATGGCTAAGAGCCCTCAGGTCCAATCTGGGCCAAAATACTTTCTGCCCCAAATCAGATTCCCCAAATCACAGATTTTTATCCCCTTTTCAGAACACGTGTCCATCACAGACATCATGTCACTTACATATTTATCGGTTATAATTTGAGGCTTTCTTATCTAAGCTGCAACACATTTCAGACAGTCCATTTTGCGGCTTCGGATAGACTTCCGGTCAAGTCGCACCTTTGATCATGTGTTGCAGTGGTCAATTTCTGTGGTTAATTTCCAGAATTCTGCAACCGTTTCTCAATATCTGCTGGTCAGAAGCTTCGCCTTTGTAAGCGAGGTCAAACTATAAGCCCCATGTGCCTCTTATTAATGCATTTCATGATTAATATGGTTAATAAACATTATTTTCTAACAATGTTTTCCTGAGAATGCTCCTGCGTAGTCTACAGTTCAGAAAAGGCTTGGTTCTTCACTGCTGACGGATTCATTTTCTTGAATGTACTTCAGAATGTCCACCTCCCCCATGGCTTCGACCTTCATTCCTGTTTGCTGCGCTTTTTGGCCTGAGGATGATGATAGTTTGGCAACAGCTTCTGTAGGCTTCTTGGGTACAATTGGCTTAGGTGGCGGCTTGGGTTTGGATCTAGAGCTCAGCTTCCACATTTTCTCAAAGTCCTCTTCCACTCTGTGCAGGAAGGTGAAAACAAAAATCATAAAGATTAAGCTTTGCATTTATGTCGTCAAGTCAAATATTTAGACCCAACCTGTGCAGGACAGCATCGCTTCCTGTCCCTATCATACACTTTGGGAAGGGCTGCAACTCAGTAGTAAAGCGCATGCTTTGCATGCCGGAAGCCCAAGGATCCCAGTTCCTCCTTCTCCAGGGAAGGCTTGGAAAGATGGCCGGCCCAAACCATTTGATGCTTGAGGACGAGTAAGGAGTGGCAATGGTGACTTGACTCAGGGTTTTTTTTTAATTACTCAGACTCAACTCGCAACTTGCAACCCACCAAACCCCCACACTATTTTCTGGGAGGGGGGACCTTGCTTTTAACAGGGCCTTGCACCTTGGACTCAGGACTTGGTATCAAAGACTCGGACTTGGGACTTGGACCCAAAGACTTGTCAACATCTCTGTGATGAATCATCTCGTTTCTTTCTTTGTCAGATAATGACACTACAGTGGTGCCCCGCATGATGATGATAATCTGTCCCACTGAAATAGCGGTTTAGCGAAATCGTCATGCGAAATCCGTTTCCCCATTGGAATGCATTGAAACCCGTTTAATGTGTTCCAATGGGGAAAGTACCTTGTTGTCCAGCGAAGATCGCCCATAAGGAAGCCATTTTGCGAGTGCTGATCAGCTGTAAAAATGGCTGCCCTGCAAAGCATGGGTCCGGAAAACACAGGGCAGCCATTCTGCAAAGCTGACAATCAGCTGTAAAAATCATTGTCTTGCGAACAAACGGTTCGTGAAGCACAAACCTAATCCAGGTCCAGTGAAAATCCCCCATTGGAATGACTGTTTTGTGAATTGCTATAGCGATCGCAAAAAGTCATCGTTATGCGGATTCGTCATTTAGTGGGGTCATCGACTTGCGAGGTACCACTGTAATTAGAAACTATTATATCTCCCTAGCAAGCTCTGAAGGAATAGTTAAAAAAACCACTTTTGTCAGGCAAAAACCTCCAATTTGTGGCTAAACAATAAACCATTTGTTGGGTATTATACATCAAGAACTAGTGGCATAATCCTGCATATATACAACCATCACAAGAGGTGAGCTGGCCTGCAAACACCTGTCTTGTTAAATCTTCCATCACTTTTAGAATTCTATAAATATTTGAATGTTAAAATAGCAGGTGCTGGGAGAGAGGGGTTATGGTTATTATTTCTATGATAAATATGCACTAGAAGAAAATGCTATAAAATTCTGGGTTTAGCACCAAAAATGCATGCACAAAAATCAACTACAGTGGTGCCCCGCATAGCGAAGTTAATCCGTTCCGGATTAACCATCGCTATGGGGAAACATCGCTATACGGAAAGGAAAATGCCATAGAAACGCATTAAACTTAGTTTAATGCGTTCCTATGGCTCTTAAACTCACCGTTATGCAAAGTTTCTCCATAGCGCCGCCATTTTCGCGCCCTCGGTAAGCGAGGGCAGGGCGCGAAAATGGTGCGGGCGGCCATTTTCTTCACCCGGCGGCCATTTTGGTACCGCCGATCAGCTGTTCCCAAAATGGCCACCGGGTGCAGAAATGATCGCAATCCGATGTTTAGCCTATCTAAACATCACAATGCAATCGCATTAGCGACCCCAAAAAACGGGTCGCTATGCGGATTCTTCATTAAACGGTGCGCTCGTTAAGCGAGGCACCACTGTACAGTATTTCATCCCTTTTTCCTAAATACCAAATTTCTTGCATGATTAAAATCACAGCGATTGACTTCAATAAGTGCAAAATATCTTCCTTTTTTTTAAACAACTCTTCCAACTGTTGACAGCATACAGAGTCAATGTTTTGGAGAACTGCACAATGGCCCAGGCCTAGAGAATGACACGGTACCTTTCTAGGCTGGGTTATAGGATATCAGCTGCCCCTAAAGCCCTGGGATGCTTTTGCTTCTGGTCTGCTAAGTGAGAGAGCCTGCTGTTACACCACATGGAAAGGCAGAGAGGCGCATGGCTTCTTGGGCAATGCAGTGCACATGATGGGCACACAGACTATGAAGCAAGGGTTAGCAACAGCTGCACACCTCGGTCAATTTTGCAGCCTTTCAACACCTACTTAGGGAGGAAAAAGACACACTGATCAATAGTGGTTACAAATGTATCTCATTTGTGGTCTGCTAAATCAGTGGTCCCCAACTTTTTCTGAATCACAGACTGTTTGGGGCTGGGTGTGCTCGCACACATGCGCAGGTGGGCGGAGTGCACTCACAGGTGGGAGGGGCACCCGTGCAAGCGGGTGGACGGGCCATGCGTGTGAGTGGGGTGCATGGGGGGAGTGCATGCAGAGGATCTGTCTTCGCAGCCCAGTCCTGCCATGGCCACGGACCGGAACAGGGGCGCAGGCTGGGGGTTGGGGACCCCTCTGCTAAATGACTGGCAGAAAAGGTACTTTTGTTTTCTTTTGTTTCCTGTCATTGGGGAGAAACTGCAAATTGCAGATTCTTTCCCTCTCTTTCATTCTGGATTACACACAAATGAAAGTGCCCAGCTCAAAACAGGTGTCCTTGAAAAATATGCACAAGCATGTTTTAGTCAATGGGAGACAGGTATGAACAAATATTTACAGTTTGATTCATGAAACACAAATTACATGTTGTCAGAGAAAAAAATATATTCATCCACAGCCAGTTGGAATAGCATCCAGATTTCTTACTGGCCCCAAGCAGAACCACCATCCACAATTTGAGATACCAAAGGTAAAGAGGAAGAATATATGGGTTAAAGTGTTCTGAGGCCAAAAACAGGCTGAGCCACATCACACAGGCATATAATTAATTCTATGCCATCATATATGGTGACCTCTTTTCAGAGTTTCCTCAGGTATTAAGGACTCAGCAGTGATTTACTCTTTCCTTCTTCTGGAGGGTGCTCTGGGATTCGGAAGTTTGTCCAAAGCTAGAGAGACCTGGCTCTACTCCAGAGAGGGGCAGTGGGGAATCAAACTTCCAGCCTCTAGCACTTGTGGTCAGATGCCAATCTCAATGGGCTCTGCCAGCCAGCTAGACTTCATGTAGTGTCTCCTAGGTCACACCTCCACAAACACACATTCCATCTCACAAGATTAGGAATTCCTGTGCCTCATGAGATTTTCTTGTTCTGGTCCATCATCACAGGCATCCTTTCAAGAACGAGGAGCAAGGCCCACCACAAACCAGGGTTTAGAAAATTACTTTTTAGGAATACATATCCCAGAACCTCCAGCCAGAGAGGAATTGCCCCCAACTTCCCCCAAGTCTGCTTGAAACATCCCAAGTGCTCTTCCATACAGGCGACGTCTAAAAGCAAGGTTAGGGAACTTGTACGATGCAGGTATTGTTGGACTTCAGCTCCCATGAGTCGTAGCCAGGACAGCTATGATGAGGGGTGATAGCAACTGTAAGCCAACAGCATCGGCAGACCTACACCATCCTTGCTCTAAAACAGTGATGGAGATCCTTTTTGAGCCTGAGTGCCCAATCTGCCAAAAAAACCCACAAAAAACTCACAAACCAGCGGGCAGCAGGTGGCTGCGGCAGCGGTGGCGGAAACAGAAGTGGCTGCAGAAGCGGGAATCCCGGGCACGGAGGTCCCTCCAGACGCCACTCCGGATCCACCTCCAGTTGTCCCCAAACCCGCCACTACCTATAGCTTGGTTGGCCTGCTGCCGACAGCGCTAGCTGCTCCAGATCCTGGCTCGCTATCTGTTGGGGCACTAGCACTGCGACTGCAGCTGCCTTTCAGGTTTTGCTGCCGAGGTAGGGATCCAGCGATTTATGGCTCACGTGCCCACAGAGATACCGTATCTGTCGGTGTATAAGGCGACTGGGCGTATAAGACCACCCCTCAACATTCCCACTCAGAATGTAGAGTTTGTTATATATTTGCTGTATAAGACTACCCCCTCTTCCGCCTACGTGATTCTGCTTTGGCTGCATCATGGGGGAAGTTCCTTTTCCCCCTTTTGGTTCCTTTGCGGAGAGAGCCAGGGTTTGCTGGAAGAAGGAACAGCAGAGAGGCGGCAGCCATTTTGAAAGGCAGCAGCCACGTGGGCGCATCTCAAAATGGCTGCCTCCTCTCTCCTGTCCCCGACAGTCAGCTGTTCGGCGCTAGAGTCAGGCTGTTCCCAGGCTAGGAGCGGGGCTCTACTCGGTCTTACTACCAGGTAAGTGACTTCGCTGGGAGAGAGGGAGGGTTTGCTGGACATGCACCCGGCATACAAGATGACCCCCCACTTGGAGACATGTTTTTCAGGGCCAAAAAGTCGTCTTGTACGCCGGCAAATATGGTAGCTCTCTTTGCATGGTTTCCACACCCCTCATACTTGGGGGTGGGAAGGGTGTGGCAGAGGTAGAATTGCCTCTGAAAGAGCAGAATGCATGGGATAATTGTTCTCATTCAGTGCTGGAGATTCAGGGACTCTGTAAGCTGGTGTCACATAAATCCTCCAAAAACAAATTTTTTTATAGTCAGTCAGAAAAACAAAGCAAAGGCACTGAGAAGCACTTCCCCTGAAAAAACAAAAACTCTAACTCTGTGTTTATAAGGTTATAAAGACTTTTTAAAAAAAATCTTGTTACTTCCTTTTCTTTTCGTATGAATTTTAGATCTAGGTTGGTGAACACCATGTTGATTGTATAGTTATGTGGGGTCATGTGGAGTTCTAAGTAGTGTTTCCACTAAAGGGCAGTACTGTATAAAAATCTACATGGTCTTTCTAAAGACAGAAATCTACATTCTAAATTTAAGCATGTTACCTTCAGTTTAAGCAGAAAACACTCTGTTTGAACTTCTTGTCATAATACTCTCTGGATTCTAACTGCAGCCTAATCTCAGTGGAAAAAAAATATTTATCTTCTAAATAGGCCAAATGACCCAGAAATGTGTGATAGTTGCTTTGCCAGTTCCAAACAATAAAAAGCACAAAATACGTGTGGTGCCACTCAACAGCTGTTGATCCAAAGGGAGA